CCCCCCCCCCCCCGACGGGCATGACTGTGACCCCTAAGATGTGGGGCTGGGGGCTGCTGCTGGGTTTTCCTATTGCAGCCTGCGGGCCAGACTCTGTACTGAGCAGCCCTGAAGAAATCCTCTGGCTTTAACCGTGCCTGCTGGGATCTGCTCAGATCCTGATGCCCAGAGCCAAGGACTCATTTCACAGCCATCTTAGAAACAGCAGCAAGGCACATGCATCCCATTGCAAGTGAAGAAAGGCACTGCCGTAGAGTCTGTGTTGCCATATCTTTGCTGTACGTGCGCTGGCTCTGCCCCTTTCCGGACCATTGCAGCTGCAGGCCTGCCCAGCCCTTCTGCAGACAAAGCAGGCGATCTCAAACAAAGCTTTCTGCGGATGCAGCCGGTGAGCGTTGCTGTCTGCTACTGTTGGGCTGCGCGTCCGGGACGGGATCCTTCCTAGCACAGGACCAGGAACTGCCAGGCTTGTTCTGGCCACATCTGCTACAAGCCTTCTTGCAGATTCCTCGTGAAACTTGCCAGCGAGTGGCACGAGCCTGGGGGCTCGTGGCTTTCTGAGGCTATTGCCTTGAGAGCCCCTATATTTCATTAAGCCAAAGTGGGTGTTGTCCTTATCCAGCTGCACTCTTGGGCTGAGGGAGTGTCCCACTGGCCTCACGTACAGCATAGCCATGGAGAGAGCATACGGGACAGCACCAAACTCCGTGGTCCAGCCTGCTGGCAGGGATCACAGCTCCCTCCATGTCTGACTGGTGCATACTGCATAGGTGCAGGCTCTTTGCTCTGTCTGGGTGGCTGATGCTTCCATGCAAAAGAAGGGAGAGGTAGGGTGGGGGCAGGCTGACAGCATTGGTCCAGCCAGAGACCAAGTCAAGGCCTATGTTAGGGTTGTTTGGGGGCAGAGGGGCACCGAGGGAAGTGGCGGGGATGGGGACAGACTCTCTCATCTCCACCCATTTCTTTCCCTTTTGATTCTGGCCAGTGGTTTGTGATCTTTAGGGGAGCAGCAAAAGCCTGGACACAGCTCACCCAGCCCATGCTGCTCCATCCTTGGCTGCCTTTCCTGAAGGAGCCTGCAGCAGGGGGTCCCAGTCTTGGGAACAGAAAAGCACCCACCATCACAGGTACATGGCAGGAATCTCACGGGGGAACTCCCTGCCAGCACAGCATGGTGGATTAGCTCTCATTGAGGCCTGTGTTGGTGTGCCCTGGCCCCTTTGGATGGGTAGTAACGTGCAAGGCAAAGAGCTTCAATTTTGGATACAGGTTTATAATGGATTTTTGTCTTAAAAAGAATGAAGCAGTATACACCACGTGCAAGGAGCCTGACGCCATGTTGGCAGACTGCTCTCTTGCATGCTCTGTGCATGTCCCTGCATGTACGCCCTTCTCCCGTGGCAGTCATTCGGGTCTCAGTCACCTGTCGCCTTCCCCTTTTTCAGTTGGGGGAAGGAGGAGTTGCTCTTGTCCAGCTGTGTTCATTATTCAGCTGTGTCATTGTGCGAGATCTGGCTGAGAAAAGCACTGGAGATCAAGGAGCTGCCTTAGGCTTTTGCAATCTCCTGCCTTGGCCGTGCACAAAGTTCAGGACCAGAGCTCTCTGCAAGGATTGACTCTTTTGCCTTGGAGACCCTTGCCGGGCACTCTCCATGTGCACACACATTGAGAGGGTTGCTGGGGCTCTGCTTTCCAATCTCGTGGCCATTGCACTGTCCTGCTGCAAGAGAACAAGGGGCAAGGGAAGCTTCACAGTAAGCGATGGTTGCAAGCCCCTTCTAGGGAAGGGGTGAGTTGGCTGAGCAAGTTGGCAGGGTCCCTGGGACCTCCTGGGAAGTGTAGTTCTCTCTAGTGCTTTGCCGGATGAATTAAAGAAAAGCCATGCAGCTGCACTACAACTCCCAGAATGCCCTGGCACGGGGGCCTGGGGCCCGAGGCGGGCATGAGGCCTTGGCTTTGTCCCTCTGGCACTGCGCAAGCGGTCAGGTCTGGTCCAGCCACTCGGCCCGCTTGGGCGCTTTGCACGTGTGCACGTCTACGGTGTCCTCGCACTCCTTGCAGCGCACGGCACAGCACCAGTGGAACTTGCACTCGCACTTGGTGATGCGTGTGACACGGGTTGTGTCATAGCCCCGGCCGCAGCACATGACCTCGCAGCTGTCGGTCCCGCGGGACATCTTGTTGCACACGCGCCCGGCCGTCCCCAAGGAGCCTGCGGAAGGGAAGCCAGGGCTTGTTACCCAGCTCTGGGAGCAAGATGGCCCTCATGCTCTCCTCCCTCCTCCCCCAATGCTGCTCTCTTCTGGCAAAAGATACCTCTTCCCTTCTGCCAGCCCAGGGGGCTTGGGTCAGACCCGCATCCAGCGGCACTGTCGGGTTTGGTGAAGGCAAGCTCGCACCCTTTGCTGCTTGCTTGGAGAGCGCTGCATCTCCAGGGTGGCTTCCAAGCTGTCTTTCCCAGCATGGCTGCCTGCTGCTGGGAGCCCCCTCCATATGCAGCCTGGCTGCAGGGCCCAGAGAGAAAGCTTGGAAGAAACCCTCTAAAATGGCCAACTCTGGTACCAAAGGTCCCCCTCAGATTTGCTGACCCTTCCCCAGCCCAGGCCAGGTGCTAATCTATCCTGCAGACCAGACACAGACCATCTGACCCCATCCTGCCAGGTCTTCCTTGTCTGATGGCTTTGCATTCCCCAGGTAATGAAGCCTTGTTTTGATCTGGGGGGAGCCTGTCTGAGCTGGACAGGACACGCAGGCAGCCCTCCCTCGGGGCAGGTATGAGGGAAAGCTTTCCCGGGCAGCGGGCATGCAATTCCCTTTCCTTGTGGCCTGACTGTTCTGTGCTGCAGCTGGAGAGGGAATGCGGGGGAAGGCCAGAAATTTGGTGCAAGGTTTTATGGACTGTAAGCTTGGGACACAGGGCACAGGCAGCCTGGTGGGGAGGTAGCTGGCTCGAGCCCCCCGAGCAGAGGCTCTGCTGAATGAATCCCTGTCTGGAAGTGGGGCTGTCCCACCCAGACTGTACTCCTCTCTTGCAGCTACTGGCCTCTGCAAAGCCCCCAGTGACCAACCAGCTAGACTACTTTACCTGCAAGACTGGAAGTCCAGGCTGGTCTGCTTGGCAAAGAAGAGCTTTGCTTGCAATAGTAGGAAGGTTTCTGAAGGCTGGGGGATAAGCTTTGAGAGGCCCGTGACATGCAGAGGCTTGCTTATCACTCGGAAGGAGTTGGACACATTCAATAAACAAAGCACCAGCCAGACGTGAGCCTCCTTCAAGACTGGGATGTCAGTTCCCCTTGGCTAAAGTCCCACAGGATGAGCTGGCATTCCCAGCAGTTGCTGTGCGCTTCCAAGGGCATGACTGGCAAAGCCTTAGAGCGATGGGTTTTACTGGGCTGCCTTGCTTGTGCTGATTGGGGATGGGGACGGGGAAATCTCGTGGTGCTGCTGCTTAGCAGTGGTTTGAAAAGCAAATCAGACCTGCTGCTCATTCCCCTCCCTTGCTTCTGCCTCCCCAGTTTTTTGAAAACAGCTTTGCTGGCAGAAATGGAAACTTCCATCCAGAAATGCTGTCAGTGCCAGACCGCCCACCCTGGAGTTGCATGGCGCCAAGATGATAATTGCTGGCACTATCTTGTGGCCCAGCCATTAGCCCAGCACGGCAGGCCGTCCGTGCCCTGGCGTGACCCCCGCTGCACCCTGCCAGCAGTCGGCGCTGACTTTTACCTGCTGCCTTGTCCATCAGGCAGTAGTCGGGGGAGTTCTCGAAGTATACCAGGTCTGTTTTGGTGGGCTTCCGAAAGTACTTGTTGGCCACGGTGAAGCCAGTGCCGTCCTGGTTCATGGTGACCTGGATGGCACCATTGTACTTCCTCCGGAGGTAATCCCCAGTCTTGCGGAAATCCGACATGGCCAGCCAGCAAGTCCGGAGGGTGCAGGAGCCGCTGACCCCATGACACTTGCACTCCAGCTTCAAGAAGCGCTTCACGGCCTGCCGGAGGGGGGGATGCGTGAGGACCCAGCCAGGTATCATGCTCGTGGCTGCCTGCCTCAGCTGGCCAGAGCGCTAAGGCAGCTTGTTTCTCACCTGCTAAAAGGCCGGGGGTTGGGAAGCCCTGCTGTTTGAGGCCACTGAAGACAGGATGTGTGGGAGAGCACAAGGTGCCATGCAGGCACTTCGGGTGCCGGCTGAGCTGTGGCTGGGCATGGGGGCAATGAGGTGGGCAGGAGGGAAGGCATCTGCGTCCACCACCCTGCCATGCATAAAGCAGGGCTGGGCTTGGATAGGGGACACCTAGAAGACACGGACCTTACTCTGGATCAGATGGGCCGTAGCTTGCCCCAGGGCTGCTGCAGAAACTGGGGCCAGGCTGCCTCTCCTCACCAGGCTCTAGCTCCGGGCAGTGCCCAGCACTCACCATCCTCCCACAGCGGTTGTTGTGCAGGTTCATCAGGGCCCGGGCATCCTTCACCTTCTTCTCCTTGGCATCCACAAAGGCCTTGGCGAACTTGATGCCGTAGTGGATGTTGTCACTGCAGCCGCCCCAGTCGAACTCGCCCCGCTCGTCCCGGGAGCGCCCGCGCTTGCGGGGGTCGCAGCTGCAGCCTTTCAGCTCTCCCTGGCTGCAGGCTCGCGTGATGGCGTACACTACACCAGCTGAGGAGATGGCATAGACAAAGGCGGCCTCCCTGCTGCCTGCCGGAGGGGAGAGGAACAAGAAGTGAGAGGCCTGCCAGGTCTGGGCGTGTTCCTGCATGTGGCCCCTGCCCTCCCCGCCCCGCCGGACCCTTCTGGTCCCGTGAGCACCAAGGCAGCGATTGCATCGGCTGAGGGAAGGCAGGTGCCCCACACTATGCAGCAGCCTGGCCGGCTGGGATTCAGCACTGACATCCGGCAGGTCTGCAGTGCTCCTTCGCTGGACAGTTCCTAGGTGACCCCAACACTGCAGCTCACATCAGCATCTGCAAAGGAGGATGCAGCCTGGGAAGGTACAAGCTGGCGCCGGGAACCCCAGGGTAGCTCTTCCCAGCAGCCGGGCAAGGTTGGGGGGGACATGGGCAAGGAGTCCTGGGTTTCTATCATGTTCTGGGCTGGGCAGTTAAAGCCCAGCTTGTGGGGTCTGAACATGAGCCCCACAGCATTTGCTGGGCTCTTAAGCCCAAGCTTCAGGAGTCAGGGGATTGCATGCAAAGTGCAGGCTTAGCTTTTTATTTTTAAAAGTAAGCGTTTGCCCTCCTGGCTTCAGGGGCAGCCTAGATGTGCCCAGTGGCTCAAAATTGGGTGGGGATTAGACCCCATAGTTACAATCTGATT